CTGCGCAAACTACCAGATGAAGATATCTTTGCGCCCGGTTTGTAGGATATTTCCTGTCGATAAGATTAACCTTTTGAAAATGCCGGCCTTTCGGCTAAACGAAGGTTTAGATAGAGATATGCGCAAATATCGTCAGCACTTTCAGGTTTCCTCATAAACTCGGTCTTAGTTACCACTCGAATGATTCATGGCCTTCTCAGATAAGTTAGGAACTCTGAAAGAGCTTCAGTCCCCGGAGTATCGGAAAAAAAGAACGCAGCTTTTCAAAGTTCAGAAATGTACTTCGACCAAATAGTGTCTTCCAGTAATTTCCTTCTCCTACGTGATGACTATAGGAAGTAACTTTTAACTTCCATCAAGAACATAGATTAGTTAGTATAGACAAACAGTTAGTTATACTTGCGTTGCATTTGAAAGAGTCCATTTTCTGAATCGCTGATCGTCCCTATTGACCTTAAAAGTTTTCGTCAGAAGCTGATTGGTGAGTGTATTTGAATCAAGTTAAGGTTATATTTGTATCTGACTACGTTGCCGACGTCCATTTGACGGTCCGCAGCTTCAAGGTTATTCACGGCGTACACCTCCAAGAGCTGCGGCGATTATTAGACCTACAAGTCCTCGAGTAATGCAAATCACATCGCTTAGACACAAGACGCTTGAAATTGCTACCACAAATCCATAAGTGCGGCCAACACTACAGCCACTCTTTCGGACATGACTGAACTCCGCTAAAACGACCGGGCATGAGTAGCGGCCAATGTCGCGCAAAACAACGGCTCCGGGTACTAAAGGCAATAAACGCTACATTCTCCCGTACCCAGTTCCCACCACATATGCCATATTCTGTAAGGGCGAATCGGGTCTTACACATGTGATTAAGTATTGAGGGTTGCATAAGATAGCGGTTGGTCAGCATGACTCTAACTGCTGAGAGTGGCCAAATTACCCCGTCATATGGCAACCTTCCGGGACACGAGTTTAAGTGCGCCGAGATAGATTCACGCGCGCCAGATTTATTATAATGTGAGATGCGGCTCCCTGCCGTATGTATGGGTTCCCCACTGTCGGTTTCATTCTCTTTTCTCCCATGCACCATTCAAATCTCTGAGCCTCTCAGCCATCTGGTGCTGAGTGACTGACTGGTGTAAACGCCCTAATCTGAGTGTCCTACTACATTTCCCCTCTGTGTACGACAGAATTTTTGGACTCGCGCAGATCGTACGCAAACTGGGTAACGCGCGCCGTCAGTCAAGCTGATCTCCGTGTTGGTCCGACGCATCCGCAGTGCGGCTGGTTGTGGAGTCAAGATTTGCGCGATATAATTCCCATAAACAACATGTAGATGGGTGTTATGTATACTCATCTATCATATATATGGAAAATGCATGCAAACTGTAAATGACTTTTCTGACTAACTGTGTGAATTGTACTCGGGACGTTACCAATTAAGTAACGCGTACGTTAATGGTTTTCATTGTCCGTATCTACTTATTTATGCATTTTAAAATGATACAAGCCAACAGCTTCCTTGTAATTTCTTTTCAATTTTAAAAATTTCATACAAACTCTCCTTAAAGGGAATTTGAAATGTGCTTCGGAAATTAATGAAAAAATGACGCGGGTTTTAAAATCCACCGGTGTTAGCTAACATTTAAAGCCGAAATCCCCCTTATATCAGGTAAAAGGTTTTGAGATGCGCAATGTCCCCTGAACTTAACAAAGGAGATAAATTTCACATGTTTCTGTTATAAAACAGAAGTGAACTTATGTGGGTATCAAAAATATTTGTGATAATAACTGCCTATTTAGTTATTTTAAGCTTTCTTCGTATCGGTAAATTAGAGGACGTTTCTCCTAAACTCGCCATGTTGTCCATTAAAAACCGAATCGGTAGCA